CCTTCCAATTACCTACTCAGGTATTTTTTGTTTCCCATGCCTTCCAGAAACTTGTCTGGATTTGCCCCATCCAACCTCTTCATATTTAATTTGACTGGCTAAGATTTATTAGGCCCACTTTGTGTTTCAGCCACTAGTCATGACTTCATGGACTTTAGCTTTAGAACAACACCAAGAGACTTGTCATGTCAATATCCAGATGAAGAAGCTGAGTTTGAGTAATTACTGACTTGTCCAATCTAGAAGTGAGCTTCAGAACTGAGCCTAGAATACATGATGGTCTGATTCAAACACCAGAGCTTTAACTACTTCCCCAAACTGCCTCCCGAAGTCTGTCCAGTCTTCCCTCTTATTGGCTCATACCTGTGATCCTGTTTTTGCTTTCCCTCTCCGCTGCCCTAAGTCAAACCCTACACAACTCACGCAGGGAGTGTTGATGGGTCTCCTCACCCTGGGCCTTCTCCCTTCCCATCAATGGGTGTGGCCTGATGTGGTGTGGTCGAGAGCACAGCTCTGGCCCCAGACAGATTTGACCTTGAATCCCAGTGTCCTCACTCATCGACTCTGTGATCTTGGGTTAGCTCACTTGATTTCTCTGAGTCTGGGTTTCCTCATGTGAAAAATGGGAATTCTGATAGCCTCTGTGTTAGAGGAGGTTCTTTTTCTGAGTGTTTAATGCGATAATGTAGGTCAGTCCTTGGCATAGTGCCTGGCACTTACTAAAGGCTCAATGCGTGTTAATTATCATCATGTGATTCTTCCCAGAAGGAAACTTCCATCATGTTTCCCCGCTCTCATGGTGGGCACTCAGCACTCTCCTCAACCCAGACCTGACTTTCTTTTCCATCTTCTCTTTTTGCCTTCTATCGCTCCAGTTCACCAAACAGTCTCCTCTCCTTCTTGACCTCTCAGTGCAATGTAGAGAAGAGAGCACGTGCTCTGGGGTCAGGCAGACCTGGGTTTGAACCCTAGTTTTGACCCTTGCTAGCTCTGTGAGCTTTGGCAGCTTCCTTCACAACTCTGGGTCTCAGTTTTCTTATCTATAAAATGAGAATGAGGGTGTAGTGAGGGTTACCCCTCGGAAAGCATTATACCTGACACCTAATAGGTGTTTAATCCTCTTATCTACGTCATCACTGGAATTCCTGCTTCTCCTGTCCTGCCAGTCTTCTCATGGGAGCCTCCTTCCACTGGGAAAGTTTCCTTGCTCCTCCATCATATTTGGATTCCTCTTGTGGATTCTCATTATGCTTTCCATCCATAATAATACTGAGAATTTCGCATTGTACAGTTCTTTATAGTTTTCGTAGTTCTTTCCAAAAACCAGCCCAATTAATTTGCACAACTCTGAGCAATACTCCGACTAGTAATTATTACCCCTATTTTTAAAAGGTAAACTGAGGCTCTGATTCATGGTCATGCAGGGAGGCCTGGAGTCCAGTTCTTCTGGCTCTTGGTCACCAATGCCTCTCTCCCTGTACCATTCTGCCCCCGAGTGACTGCCACTCACCTGAAGTCATCGCCCTTTGTAATGTTGCAGCTTGTTTTCCATGGGTTCCTGCCTTGTCCCCCCAGGGAGGATAGAGTCTGGTCCTCCCCCTAGCCTAGTGCCTGTCAGATATCTATTATGTGGTTGATGTCATTCAGTGGGTTGAATTTTTTTTTTTTTTTAAAGATTTCATTCACTTATTCATGAGAGACAGAGAGAGAGAGAGAGAGAGAGGCAGAGGGAGAAGCAGGCTCCCAAGGAGCAGGAAGCCTGATGCGGGACTCGATCCCAGGACCCTGGGATCACGACCTGAGCCGAAGGCAGACGCTTAACCATCTGAGCCACCCAGGCGCCCAGTGGGTTGAATTTTGAATTAATGTGGTAGTTTGCAAGACCGGTGTAGGAAATTAACAACTAAACTGATCAGAAAGTTGGACTGGTACAGTGATATTGTATTCAAATGTATGAAACCACAAAGAGAGATCCCATTCTTGAGGCACCTGTTCCTCTGCACTCATGCCTTTGGACTTGGATTCTTTGGATTTGGGGACTTTGCAGTTAGCTGCTGCATCCCCTCTGCTCTGTGTTCTTGTTTCTATAATATCCCTGCCCCTGCTGGATTGTAAGTAATCTGCTGAGCCATCTGTTTCTCCGCCCCTAGACCATGAGTCCCTCCAGGACAAGCACCTATCCAATTCCTGTCAGTGGCCAGGACCTGCCACTCTGCTTGGCACACAGTAAATGGAAGCTGAATGAATAAGTCAGAAAGACCCAGCGGGGTCCATCCCCTCATCTCCCTATGACTGTGCTCATTCCTAGTCTCTTCTCTTATCCCACAGTAGATAGATTTCTTATCTCCTATACTGAATAAAAGGCAGGTTTCGTGTTTTACTCATTTTTGTAGCCTCCCTAACAACCAGGAAAGGAGGAAACTGTAATTATTGAGTGTCTATTGTGTGCCAGTAGTGATTTCACATGTATTATCTCATCTTTTAAAAATGGAATTTAATTCTTATAATAGGTCAGTAAGATAGGCATTATCATCCTTGAATTACAGAGGCAGGAGCTGAGACTCAGGGAAATGAAATAATTGGAATTTGACCAAGTTGACCTAGCTAGAAAGTGGCAACGCTAGCATTTGAATCCCTGTCTGCAGGCTGTAAGACCAATGCCTTTCTTTGTTGTTGGTGGTGGTGTTTGTTTTTAACAGCATGCAGGTGAGCTGAGTGTGTTAGCCCAGTAGGTGTCAGGAACTCTGCTGAGCTGAGACTTGAATTTAATCACATTGAATCAAATCTGTGCAAGCCTGCTCCCAAATGCTTCGAGCACATATACTGCCTGCCTTCCCTTTTGATTGTTTGGATGAAATCCTTTTGAAAACATGCACTGACCACTCACAGTGCAGCGGACACAGTGCTGAAGATAGGTCTCCTCAGGGACGTGACAGTCTGGTGGGGAAACAGACCTGTAGCAGTGATCATATGTGTTATCTGTGCTATGGGGAGACAGGAGACAAGACTTAGGTCAGGCTGGGGGGAACTTGGGGGACTTCTGGGTAAATCATGAGGGAGGGATGAGAGTTGGCCAAGCCAAGCAGAAAGAGAGCCACGGGGGAACAGCATGTGCTAAGCCCCGGAGGTACAGATTTGCAGGTAGGATGGGTCTGGGAGAAGGGGCCATTTCGGTGGAACAAGGCAGAGGCAACAGGAGATGCTGAAGCTGGTCTCCCTGGGTTCACAGCGTGAACCAAAGGTCACGAGTGGCTCCCATCCCTTGCCCCTCCACAAGCAGTACTCCTGGCTTGGATGACAGCTAGGACAGTCTGGCCGTATCTATCTGTCTTCTCTAGGGAACTGATGGGTGAACACAGTGTTTGCATTTCCCCGGTGTGGAGGAAATAATGAGCAAGTGATTGGGCAGGCAGACCTAGTGATGTCATCTGTCTGCGTGGGGCGGGGGCGGGGAGGCATGGCTGCCCTCAGCAGGCCGGGAGGGGGGCTTGGCACCTGAGTTCTCGATGTGCCCCTGCAGCAGAGGGCTCCGGGGTTAGCAGGGAGCTGATGCAAATGGGATCAGGCCCCGTTCAGAATGGTCTTCTTACGTGGTGGGTGGAGCGGAGAGTTCTGTCACCCCGGGCCGCAGGGTGATAAGCCACACATGTCCCTTGTGTCCACCCAGTTCCACTTTTCCTCTTCACTATGCCTGAAAACGTTCTTTAACTCAGGGCTTTATTAGCCAACCAAGAATGGCTGAGAGCTGAACCGGCCTTATGATGAACTGTATGTTACTTAACCAGTAATTAATATATATACGTGTGTCTATATATGCTATATATGTATATTATATGTATATATTATACGTGCATATATATACATATGTATATATTATATGTATATTATGTGTGTATATGTATCATGTATGTATATATTTATAATATACGTAGTTTGTGTGTGTGTGAGTATGTGCGTGCATCAACACTCATCACATGCAGAAACAAACCCAGTGCAGTGCTGACGTTGACTCTTCATCCCTCTCCTTCCTCCCCCTGGCACTTCGAAAACCCCTCAGTCAGTTTTGTCTCGGTCCTGTCCAGATCTTGTTCTGTTCTCCCATGCGTCACCCACTGGTTCCCTCCTGCACCCGCAATGGGCCTCCTCCACCGTGATCCTCAGTGGACCACTGTGGACCAGTGCCTTCCACATATGAAGACTGCCTGCCGCATCCTCTCGCCAGGCTAGCTCACCTGCCCCTCATCCTGGAAGGCACAGAAAAGCCAGCTCAAAGTCAACCCTGCTCATTTCCAAGAATTGCCCAAGCCTACTCCCCACTCACTCCCTACCCTTGGCTCCCTGCTCGTGCTCTCCCACCACACTCTACACTCCCATTTTGCTCCCTCTAATGCATTCTTCACACTGCTGCCTGGATGGTTTATCTAAAATTCAAATGCGATCATGCCATTGCCCTGCTCAGGACCCTTCAGTGGTTTCAGACCCTTTCAAATGACATGTGAACTCCTGAAGCATTGAGAGCAGAGTCATCCATGAGCAGGCTCCTTCCTACCTCTCTGGCATCGCTTCTTACCTCTCCCCTGACAGTTGGTGACACAGCAATACTAAATTACTTATGGCCCCCCAAACACACAGTGTTGTTCAATGCTTCTGAGTCTGCCAGAAATAGCCTCTCCTCTCCATTCTGTCTTACACATCTGATCAGCCTTTCAAAGCTTCGCAGTTGTCCCCTTCTCTGAAACCCTCCCAGACAGAAGTCATCATTCTGGGCTGCCTCTGTGTCTTGCTCAGGATCTGTTGTTGTCCTGTCTGCATATCCCCAAGACCTTCTTGCTTCCACAGATGGTCTTATTCATCTCTGAAGAACACAGGGCCTAACACAGAGTAGGTGCTTACCAGCGCCGATTGAATGATTGTCAAATTACACTTTCCTCCCAGCATTTAAGGGGCTCATGTTTTCGCCACAGCCACACTGATCCCTGCATCCTGATTGGCTTTCCCAGGTCGGGCCAATCACTGGTCTGCAATCATTGGTGGATCCCACTCCAAGAATTACGTGCTGTGGGAGTACGGAGGCTATGCGAGCGAAGGTGTCAAACAAGTTGCAGAATTGGGCTCACCCGTGAAAATGGAGGAAGAAATTCGGCAACAGGTAAGAAAAACAATCACAGAATGACCAAAAACCAGGAAGAGAGTCAAAGCATCCCTTAGATTTCTTTTCTGGGGGCTTGAAGTTTATCGTACGATGTGCTGGAAGATCGGTGCCCTAGGAAGCAAAATCTATTTGCTGACTTTGGGGGGGAGGGGTTAAGTCAAGTTGAGGACAGAGACACACAGGTCCCTCTTGTTGTCTCAGATTTTCCCTGACCGGATTTGCGTTTTCTCCAGTTTTTGCTAAAGGCCACTGCTGTGGCCTCCTGGATGGGATGCCGTGTCTCTGGTCTCCTGAGAGTTGATGCAGTGGCTTTCAGTTTTCTTGCTATGATCCTTGAGAGAGGATCAGGGGAGTGACACTGAAGTCGTCCAAACCGAAATCACCATTTCAGAATCACCATGAAAATAAACTGTTTATCAGCACTTGCTTTTTGTGACCATGCCTTGAGGCGTTTGACAAACTCGTCGGTCATTAGTCATAAATAGTTATAGACTGAAGCATCTTCTACGCACCACGTACGTACTGTGTTACGTGGGCCCAGGAGCTGCGCCATCATCTAGGTCCCCTCATCCCATGGAGAGATGAGGACGAAATCGCCCATTGTCCTTTCTGACTTGTTTGACTGACAGTGCTCTATCGTCCCTCATCCAAAGCACTAGAAAGAGGCCAAGGAGGGATCTGCAAAGAAGAGTTGTAGCTTTTCTGTGGCCATCCACGGCTGCACTGTGGAGAGGTGATGGGCCAGCTTTGGCCATCGCCACCCATGGAAGCCCTTCAGGCCTGAGAGAGCTCGGTGGGCAGTCGGGGCTCACTGCCCACAAGTGCTCAGGAGGGTGTTAGGAAGGAGCAAACCACGCTTGGGCTGTGGTCATTTCACAACACAGGTCACTGCGAGGCTGTCCCACATCTGAGACTACAGGAGGCCCACGTGTCATGATGTGTATGTGCCCAGAAGCCTGAGCAGCACGGGAGGGCAAGCACAGCTGAGGCCCCCAGTGCTTCCCTTTGAAGTCTCCCATCAGGACTCCAGGCTGCCCACAAACCTTAAACTGAAGGCAACAAAAGTCACCCTGACTCCTCCTATAATCCCCTGAGGAATCCTTTTGGACCAGAGTCCAAAAATGCTTATGTTTCTTATTAATTTGATTTAAAGCCTTTTCTACATTCTTGGGGGGAAAATGTTTAACCAGATGTTGTAAGATGGCACGCTATTCATCACAAGGGTATCCAACCAACTAGTCAGTGTTTCTCTGACCTCGTTGCCATGCCTCGTGACTGGCATCACACATTCAGGCTAGAGCACAGCGCAACATCTGCCAAGCCATGGAAGGCTCCAGCTTGGTCCTGGTCTGTCCAGCCTGTCATGGGGGTAGGGGGTTCCTTTGTTTGGGACCACGAGGGTCCACGTTCCTGGGTGGTACACTGGCTTATCAAGTCCCGTTTATGGTGTGGTAAAAAAATAAAAAAAAAACATTTGTTACAAATAATAGTTGAACTACTAAAGTTTGCAAATGCATTAGGTCAAGGTCAAGGGCATCTTCATAATAATGCCAGTCTCCTTCATTGTCTTTCTTGAGAGATTTCTGGGGAGAAGAGAAACATGTATGAGTCATGAGAAACTGGGACCGGTTGTGCCAAAAAACATTATTTATCATGTGTTATAGCAGCACAAAGGTTGGAAGCTGATGGATGGGACCCCCAGCCTTAGAGTGTCCCCATTAGGGAAACATTCTTTGCTTGGCATGTTCCTAACCAGGACACATGGGATTAGCTTCTGTGCCGCAGTCTGCCTATCCCAGCTGGCTAATATTCCCGACATTAAGTCATAATAATAAGTTTAATGATGAGGACTGCACATGGGAGTTAAAATTCCACTGAGCATATCTGAGGGTGTGTCACTGCCTTTCAGGCCCCCTGGTGCTGGATATCTACTTTTAGCTCTCACATCTAGTCTGAGAAGACAATAGTATTACCCCCGTTTTACAGATAAGGAAGCTGAGGCACGGTCAATAGCTAGAGAATACCAGAACTTGAACCCAAATCTGCCTCGCTCCAATGCTTGTACACAGTCCCACATATATAATTTGCAGGGCCTCGTGCAAAGTGGGGTCCTTATTCAAGACTTAAGAATTCTAAGGTGGTGATGTTGTGAATTTCACAGCATGGGGCCCTGGGAGGCTGCTGGGCACACACCCTTGAAGCCAGCCCTGCCCATCCACTTCCCTGCCCCCCATAGCTGTCCCACAGAGAAACTCCTTTCACCAGTCTCTGAGATAATCCCTGTTTCCAGGGCTCCACTAGCAGTGCGGCAAGCCCCCAGCCCCTTGGAAAGTCAGTCGGATAGTATAATTTCCAGATCCCTTCTTTACCAAACATTTCAGAGTTTTCAGTATTGTTCCCTGCAAACACATAATTTATTACATTTTTCTGTCAGGTAAGGAGCAACATAAAAAGCCGCAAGAATATGAATCCTCCTAGAATATAAAAGTGTCCTCTGAATAACTGGAAACTTGTTTGAACACATCTACAAACTAACACAGTGTTCTCAGCCTTTAATGCCTTATATCCTACCAATCTCTCTATCAAAGAACCTGAGTCCAACCAGGATGAAAAAAAAAAAGCCCTCTTTTCCCAAGAAAGACATTTATATGCTTACTAGCATTCTCTTATTATAGACTTATCGCTCACTTGCAAGTTTCAAGGGCATTAAAAATCACAGTAGATATTGTTGGAGGTAAATCTTATGCTAATGGCTCTCAAACACAAATGAACAAAAATAATAATCCCATTAGTAGAGGAAAATTGTAATAATATTATTGAGTATAAATTTTACTGTTACGATAACTACAAAACAACCAAGAAAATTAATGAAAAATCACAGTAGTGTCATTGCCAAAACACTGGTGGTCAGAGGGAGTGGGGGAAAGGCGCAATGCACACTTCTTAGCAGAGAAACAGAGTGTCCTGTTGGTGAGTAGGGACTGTGGATTAGAACTACTGAGCTCAGGCTAGACTGACAAGTCACAAATAGGCAACCCAGGCGGGTGGAGGCAATAGGGCACGGTAGGTCACACTTGTAGGTAGAGCCAGGAACTAACAGTGAGCAGATATATACTCACTGTTATGAAGATGTTGCGCTGAGTCCAAAGGAGAATTTTTACTCAGGGGCCCAGATAGAGCGCAAGCTTCCTTGCCGCCTTCCTGAGGTGATTTGTGGAAGGTTTCCCCATCCCCTGTCCATAAACAGGGCAGCCCTTCAAAATGTCTAGCTTGATGCCACTGGGGTCTTCCCACATCTCATCTCACACCAGTTCACGTTATCAAGCACACACTTATGGTGTGTGTACTAGGTGTCTGGTTCTCTGCCAGACATGGCCCCAAGATGGTGCCCCATTCACCATGTTGGTCATGCTAGAAACTTACCCATCATCCTTTATTCTCTCCCCTGCCCCAACTCTGGCCATCTGTCCTAAATCCATCCAGTTCACTCCCTCATCACCACTGCTCCATCTAAGTCATCCTCATGTCCTGCACTAGTTTTCTGATCTCCCTGACTTCCTCTTATCCACACTGCTCCAGGGTCATTTCAATAAAACAGAAATGAGATTATGCCATTCCCTCCGACTAAGATGTCATCACTGACCCTAAGATCAAGTTCAAGCTCCTTATCATAGCTTGAAACCCCTCCATGATCCAGCCTTGTCTCGCTTCTCCTGTCTTATTTCTTGCTGCAGCTCTAAGTTTTACCCATCCAGAACCGTGTTCAGTCTTCCCAAAGAGCCATGCCCCTCTTGCATCTGGGTCTTCCCTCAGCCTGGAACATCTTCCAGCTCCCCTTCACCTGGTGAACTCCTAAGTATCCTTCTGGGCTCAGCTTAAATGTTGCTTCTTCCTGGAAGCCTTCTAGATTTCTGTACAAAATGGGTGCCCTTGCCAGGTGCTCACACAGCGCCCAGTACCTCCCCTGTCATCACCACCATCCCGTTTACTGTAAGTTCTTGTCGGATGTGTCTCCCTCACTAAACTGCAAAGTTCCAATCTGTGCTTCCATCATTGTATCCTCCGAGCTGGGCAGTGTTAGCTGCTTCATGAATGATTCTCGAGTGTATTCATTTAGCCACTCAACTTTACTGAACACCCACTAAATGCCAGGCATTACAGATACAGCAGTGAGCAGATGATTCCCTGCCTGTGTGGAGTCTATGTTCTAGCAGGGGAGACAAGGACAAAATTAAATAATTAGAAAGTAAGTAAAAAGAGACCAATAAGAGGTGACACAGACAGCAGTGTTAGGGAAGGACCTTGGAATTAGGGTGTCCAGGAAAGGTCTCCCCGAGGAGTGACCATCAAGCTGAGACCCAAAAGAAAAGCATAAGGAAAAGGTCATTCCAAATGGTGACAACGGCATGTGCAAAGGCCCTGGGATGGAAAAGAGCTTGTCATGCTTTAAGAATCCAGAGAAGACTGGTATGGCAAGAGGAGAGGGAGGGAGGGTAAGTGTGGCCCAGCATGAGACCGAGTTGAATGGAGGGCCCTTCATCTCCTCGCTGGAGAAATTCATGGGTGAGGTGAGAGAGGCAGGTCCATGAACACCTATTCCCATATAAAGTACTTGGACTTCAGGGGAATCTCTGCATCAGCTGGGGGAATGCAGGTATTAGACTGTGGCAGTCCTTGATATGCCATTTTCTGAACCACCCCGGGCTTTCATGGCCCCTGTCCCCATGGCCAGAGACACATGTTAGTTTCCATGTCACTTGGGAAAGCTGGGTCCAGAGTCCCTTCCCTCGGCTTCCTTAGCTCCCCGTGCAGACCCTCTCCTAGACTGGATCGTCCCTGCCATTTCCTTCTCTGTCTCCCAGGTAGGCAGTGTGTCCCTTGAAGGCAGGTGCTGGAGTCTCCTTTTCAAACCCACCTCTGCTTCTGTTAATACCTACTCTGTCACTTTATTATGTTTTCTTTTATCTCTTCAATTTTAAACATGTCTAATTGTCTCT